ATGCTGAGGCCGCGTCCCACATATAGCAACTAGAAGGTTGTGCAGCTATGACATACAACTATCTGCTGGGGCTTTGGGGGGAAAAATAAATAAATAAAATCTTTAAAGTAATTAAACTATATCACAATAGAAACAAATAATCATCAGAAATGTTTAAAGCTCTTTATTATCATGTAACAATCTACTTAAATTCTATAGACTTGAATTGCAGGGAGGCTGGGAAGCACCTTATTTTGGAAAAAGAAAATGTAAAATGGGAGCTCTTTCCGAATTTTTTGCTTTGATTACAAATTTTAACTTATGCTACTAGATTCTTATTTATGTGTTACCTAAGGTGAATCTTTTATTCTTCCCTTGTTGTACAATAATATTAAAGAGAAGTTCTGAGAACTGGCTCTTAATTCTAGAAAGGGAAAAGAGGAAAGTTAGGCTGTGTGTGTGTGTGTGTGTCTGTGTGTGTGTGTATTTTGTGGGGTGGGCCTGGTTAGGGATGAAGGACATGATGACACCGTCAGAACTCTAAGAGGTGAACCTTGAAACAAGTGTGATCAAGTCAGGCTGATGAAATAGCTCTGGCAACAGTTCTGACAACACCTTCCTCATACTTCACAGAGCTGGGACCTTTCACAGGAGACACACACACAAACATAATAATAATAATATTATAATAATAACAACAGCAGCAACAAACACTTACAGTGCCTTATATATGCTAGGAACTATTCTAAGCATTTTACTATATGTTAATTAAATTAATTCACAACAACTCTAAGAAGAAGGTACCACAATTACCCTGATTTTACAGATGAGGAAAATGAGGCACAAAGAGAGATCAAGCAACTTGGCCAAGGTACCAGAGCTGGTAGGTGTTAGAGCCTTGAGAGAGTCAGGATTTGAACCCATGCCAATTGGCTCGAGAGTCTACAATACACTCTTAACCATGATGCTCTAGTGACTCTGCATCTGTTTCATCTTAGGTACAAAACTATTTGCTAAATCAGATTAGAAGAGTGCCACTTTAGAACCAGGTCTGAAAAATCCTTTTGCCATTCACTAGCTGAATGACTCAGAGACTGTCACCTCATCTATAAAATGGGGTTAACAACACCTACTTCCCATAGTCATTGTAATGGAAGAGACAACATGAGTAAAGTATATAATGCTGTGGAAGCACATGGTAGGTGATCAGGTGATCAGAAAATTACATTCTCTTTCCTTATTACTTTTTTGCCATCTATTTTTTTCTCAACTCTTAGATTTTCTCTTTCTTCTACTCTTTTTCTCCTCTCTCTCAGTCTCCCCTACTCTATCAGCATGTATAATCTCCTATAAATATTATTTCCTTTTAAGATATTCTATGCTCATGGACTGGAAGAATTAACATAGTTAAAATGTCCCTACTTCCTAAAGCAATCTATAGATTCAATGCAATCCCTACCAAAGTTCCAATGACATTTTTCACAGAAAGAACAAAGAATCCTAAAATTTATATGGAACAACCAAAGACCCTGAATAGCCACAGGAATCCCAAGAAAAAAGAACAAAGCTGGAGGTATCACACTCCCTGATTTCAAAATATACTACAAACCTATAGTAATCAAAACAGCATGGTACTGGCACAAAAACAGACACAGAGATCAATGGAATAGCATCAAAAGCCCAGAAATAAACCCACACATCTATGGACAGCTAATTTTCGACAAAGGAGCCAAGACCATACAATGGAGAAAGGAAGGTCTCTTCAATAAATGGTATTGGGAAAACTGGACAACCACATGCAAAAGAATGAAAGTAGACCATTATCTTACACCGTATACAAAAATTAACTCCAAATGGATTAAAGACTTGAATGTAAGACCTGAAATCATGAAACTTCTAGAAGAAAACATAGTAAGTACGCTCTTCGACATCGGTCTTAGCAGCATATTTTCAAGTACAATGTCTGACCGGGCAAGGGAAACAAAAGAAAAAATAAACAAATGAGACTACAATGAACTAAAAAGCTTTTGCGCAGCAAAGGAAACCATCAACAAAACGACAAGACAACCTAACAATTGGGAGAAGGTATTTGCAAACCATATATCTGATAAGGGGTTAATATTCAAAATACATAAAGAACTCAACATCTCAATACATTTCAACAACAAAGAAACAAACAACTCAATTAACAAATGGGCAAAAGATCTGAACAGACATTTTTCCAAAAAAGATATACAGATGGCCAATAGGCACATGAAAAAATGTTCAGCATCACTAATTATTAGGGAAATGCAAATCAAAACTACAATGAGATATCACCTCATGCCTGTCCGAATGGCTGTAATTAACAAGACAAGAAATAACAAGTATCGGAGAGGATGTGGAGAAAAGAGAACACTCATACACTACTGGTGGAAAGGTAAACTGGTACAGCCACTATGGAAAACAGGATGGAGATTCCTCAAAAAATTAAGCATAGAACTACCATATGATCCAGCCATTCCACTGCTGAGTATTTATCCAAAGAATACGAAACCCGAATGTGTAAACATACATGCAACCATATGTTCACTGCAGCATTATTCACAATGGCCAAGACCTGGAAACAACCTACGCGCTCAGCAATGGATGAATGGATAAAGGAGATGTGGAATATATACACAATGGAATACTACTTAGCTACAAAAAAAAGATGAAATCTTGCCATATGTGATAACATGGATGGACCGTGAGGGTATTATGCTAAGTGAAATAAGTAAGATAGAGATAGTCAAATACTATATGCTCTCACTCATAAGTAGAAGATAAAAACAACAAACAAACACATAGATACAGAGATTGGATTGGTAGTTACCAGAGAGGAGGCGGGGAGGGAGGAGGGTGAAAGAGGTGACAGGGCACATGTATATGGTGATGGATGGTAATTAGTCTTTGGGTGGTGAACATGATGTATTATACACAGAAATCGAAATATAATGATGTACACCTGAAATTAAAAAAAAAAAATTTCCTTTTCTACCTCCCAAAATAACAAAGGTTCAGGAATTCTTCCCCCACCCCCCACCCAAATATCATACATCACTGAAACACTTGCCACTTTTAGAATGCATTACTGAAAAGGTCAGGAAAAGAAACTGTAGTGGACTAGTTGACAGAAAGCAAGAGAGGAGTCAGAAAAGCACACCTTCTGACGATTAATTTTCATGTAAGACAGTACTTAACCCGGAGAATAGTTTAACGGCTTGAGTAAATTAAATAACTGTTTCCAAAACGGTACTTCTTTAAACTTACTTTATTAACACCCTTAGAAAAAGTACTAAGATATTAAAGTGATAATGTCTACAGCTCAAAAATTAGCTCACAACCAAAAGCAAATAAGAAATTTTGCTCCTGAGCGTAAAAATCTCTAGGATTCTAAACTTACTGAGATAA